CCAAATTGACTAGGGCTACGTTTGGACATTCTTAAAAAATTCACTAAAAAGTAAGTATCGCCATTAATTAAGTAGAAATGATCTAATATCCACGGTGAGTATGAATTATAATGCGGCAACATCTAGTGTTCCTTGTAACACCTATGTTGCTATGCTCTCGATGGACATTATAACTCATGTCCACCATAGGCATTAGATCAAAACAGATTAATCAAATTGACAAGCATTATTCTTATTCTAAAGAATTCTTACAACCTATTTTTTTAAAAAATATCTTATAAATTAATATTTTCGAAAAATAAAATATAAGTACTTATATATATTAGCAAGATTATATTAAAATAACAGTGCGTAAAAATCAATTGAGAGTGTTTGATAAATGTGTTTTAAACACTTATTTGGCGTCTAAGGGCAGACCTGAGTTCTTAATAATTTCAGATCAGCTTGCAAGATTTGTACTTATTTAAAGATGTCTAATAACTATGACAATTGGGAGAGATTGGTGGAAGCTGTGCTTGATAGAGAGGAACTACGTCGAATTGCTTTATTAGATGAATCGAGGAAATCCAGCTTCAACTCCGTTTCATTCTCCGGTTTCAGTTTTGGGTCAACTTCTAATACAGTAGTAGATGACTGGAATTTGGACATATTTCAACCATTTGATCATCATCAGGAGGACATAATGATCTCTACATCAGTTAGCCTCTGGGAAATGAATCCGAGGCAAATCTGCATCAGGTAAGTTGTGTTATTGTTGTTTGTTAGAGAAATTTGCATTTCACTATACTTCCTATTTTTACTGCATATGAATTCCTCATAACACATTCTGTTCATTATATATTTATGAAATTAACTTCAACAGTTCATGTTGTTCACATTTAAACTTTCTAGAAAAAACGAATCCAGGATATACTGAAGATATAAATTTAAGCTATATGAATCGCAGCACACTGAAGTTCAAATGGAATTAATGAATCGCAGCTGTTATAGAAGACCTCTCTCTTCGAACTTTGCATATTGAACATTGAATCATTTACTTTTGGTTTGTTTATGAAATCATTTATGGTTGGGGATGAAATGACAGTTTTTTTATTTTAACCGTCAATGCCAAGTATATATCTTTACAAAAGCCTGTCAAAGATCATGTTCCTGTAGCAGATCTGTGTAAACCCCTTGATTTTAACTTTTGATGACCATAAAGGAAG